CTCTGTGGGTGCCCCCACCCTCTGGAACGAACTACCCCCCGAGATCCGGATGATTCCGGATCTCCTTACTTTCCGCCGCGCCCTCAAGACATGGCTTTTCCAGCAAGCGGGCCTGACCTAGGGAGGATTTTAGGTAGGGATGATTTTAAGAAAATTTTAATTGACACACAGCTTCTAATATTTGGCTTTTAATTTGGTTCTATGGGGGTTTTTTGTTTTTTGATGTATTTTGTTTGTATCTGTTTTAATATGCTGTGCACCGCCCTGAGTCCTACGGGAGAAGGGCGGTATATAAATTAAATTATTATTATTATTATTATTATTATTAGAGTGGAGATATGACAGGAGGTTGTGTTCCATTGTGATTCAATGAAAAGAATAAGCTATCCTATTTTACCCAGTTTTGAGTTATCTCCAGCTTTGATAAGGATTCCTTCTACTTCCTCACCCAAGTTATTAGCAAAAATTTTGAAGAGTCCAGGGTTGACACATCAGACCATATTTTAATGCCTTTCTCCAGTTTCATGAATCACCATTAATAAATACACTCTCAGTACAGTTTTCAAAGGTGGGTGGGTTGTATGCTTGACTTCTCAAAGATTCATAGTTATGAGTAAGCTATTTGTCTGCATCTTGACATTTCTCATAATTTACCTGGGAAACCTATCTGTAGGAGTTGGGGCAAGTACCAATCATGAAAAAAAAAAGATTACATGCTTAATGCACATAGATCAATGTGACTGTCATGCAAAGAATTGATACAGAAACTCTGCAGAGTAGTGATGTGGAAGAAACCAAGCTCTTGCAGACTGGCCCCAGACAGCTCTTGGAAGTTGCAGACATTGCAAGATAAAGTCATATGGTCTGTCAAGTCATCTAACAAAAGTTAAAAAGAAATGTGTAAGCCATTCTGAACAAAAATAATACAAAAAGGGCCTTTTGGATTAGTAGAAAGCTTCAGTTTAATCCATGGAAAAACTAAAGCACATCTATATCTAAGAATGGATTCAGAAAGAATGATGGCAAACCAAAGGTTATTCAAATGAAACCACTTTGGAGAAATATGGTATCTGAAGGGGTATTTTACCCATACAAAGTTGAAATTAAGAAAAGACTGCTCAGTGCACAGAAATTATTGCCTCTAGAAGTAATGGCTATCAGAAATGCAGCCTTAAAAAACAGGAACTGAACATAACTGGTAAAACTTCAAAGGTTTATACATTAATAAGATGGGATAACGTAACAGAAGAGATATCTGAATTAAAGGAAGTACTATAGAATGTATATTTTTCTGAAAGTTGTCAGACTTCTGTGAGACTAGAGACAAAAGGAATTGAGAAACCAGTAGCGAAACATCTGGGATACATCAAACCATCTGGATTCAACAAATGCAGTTTTCTACAAATAACTTCTACTCTGACAAATACAGTCTGCTTTCTTGCACAACTTAGGAGGAAAGCTTTCGTGCTACTTGAAACACATCTTTAAATAAGGATGAGAAAACTGCTATCGACCCCAGCAGTTTCAGGTCAGGATGAAGCCTCTGAGGGCCTTTCAATAGAGGAATCAAGATAGGTTTCCTTCAACAGCTAAGGGGAGAGCAGAAGCATGGCTCTCTTAGCACTGTAGATACTGATTTACTTTAAGATGGAATGGTGGAAAGGATCTCTATTCCAGGGTTCCCCAAAGTACTCAGTACTGAGCCTCAAAGTCAATGGGACTATCCAAGGAGTGGATAAAAAGTTAGGGGTCAGTTAATGGCTATGGGTCAATAAGCGATGGATAAATGGAAAGCCGGTTGGGGTCAATCTTTTGGGGTCTCTGTAGAGCTCCATGCCAGTGCCTAGTCCTGAAGATAAAGTGGCTAGACACATGACAACATTACCCAGGGTTGGATGATCAGCCACCAGAAACAGTGGCCTTGAATTGTCCATACTGTTGTTGTTCATAGAACTATTAAAGTTCTATTAAATTTAATAAATAAAGTATTCATTTATTTTCATATAATAAACCTTCGGGTTCAATGAATGATCAAATTCATGAAGCGGTTGATGAGCTGAACCCCTGATCTATTCAATGGGGAAAAAAATCTCCTTAGAGAGGACAGATCACGACCCAGAGGACGGATTATGTTGGAAAACTAAGACTGGGCATTGTTCCAAGAATCAAATAAGCCTACTGAGGGCAAAGATCTAATGAAACATGATGAACAAGCAGTTCCTGATTTGCCACCTGGGTCTGCTGAGCATCTACCAGAATATTATCCATGCTGGATTGACATAAGAAGCATGTAATATTGTAACCTTAGAATCAATGGTTAGGAGGTGAAGAAAAGTTGAAACGTACAACTTTCTTGCTCGCTGATATACAGTATTTGGAAGATAAAAATGGTATTGTAGAACTCTAGCTGAATTATATGTCAAGGAAACCCATCATCCAGGTACCAGTACCTAGATGCAACCTAGAAAAAATATATTTAAGAGAGTGGTATGGCAAATGAAGTGTTTAAAAGTAACTAGAAGAATCCATGGCAAGAACAATTCCAGAATTTCTGTTGAATCTGCTGTTTCATAGTCAGTACTGAGTGAGCACACTTCCAAAATAGGAATGAGTGCCTGACAAAGAGTTTGGTGACCTTTTATACATCTTTGCATTCTACTTCACATGCACATTTACAACTTTCATTTTTACAACCGTGGAATGTTCTTATCAGTTTCTTTTGCCTCATATAGATATTCACTTCTTTCTAAGTCCCCTCTTTCGGTGTATGTTCTCTCTTGCTTAGACTAATGAAGATTTCTGTGCAAGTGTATTTACAAAAGCACACGGCATTTAGCTGACTGATATTTGCGCCACCTCCTACAGATAGGATTACCAGGTAAATATTAGAAATGTCAAGAACTAGACAAATAGCTTACTCAAAACTATGGATCTTTGAGAAATCAGTTACCTCCTTCGTCCACTTTGTTGTGGCTAGCATTCTGTTTGTTCTTCAAAATTAAAGGTAATCTCATTAACTGGCAGATCTCTGAAAGATCTCTTAGTTTTGTTGCTGAACTTTGGGGGTATTAGAATTTTTGTTCTTCAGGTTTTTTATGAATCTGAGGTAATGAAACATGTAGAACATATGGGACAGTACAGCTACTTTGTTAGCATTTTTAAAATGAAGTTTTTAATCTTTTTAAAACAAAGCAGAGAGGGAACAATCTGAATTCTAGAATGAAGGTTTCCATAACCCTGATGCTTGCATCAAAAAAGCCTTACTCCTTGTTGATTCTAGAATAAGCTCTTACAGAACTTCCAGCTTCACAACATAGAAGAGAATCCATTACTTCGGCTATAGACCCAAACTATTAAGGGATTTATATGTTAACATAAGCACGAATTTGACTCAGAAAACTACAGAAAGATAAGCAAATCAAACTTCATCGGGAGTACGACTCTGTTTAGTATAAGTAAGGGCTCCAACATTTTTTTTCTACCCAAATCATTAGACCCTCTCATTTGTCTGGACTTAACTTTCACCTGTTCCATCTGATCCAGTATATAATCTGATTCAAACAGTAGGACCCTGACACTTCTGATAATAGAAAGAAACATGTGAGCATTATATAAATAACATGTAGCCCACACATCCTGATAACCACTCCCAGTATATATTCTTTGTCCATCAGGGTGACTAGTCTGTTTCTGTGCCTGAAACTGGATTGAAATAGATCAGAAAATCAGCTTCATCTTGAAGCATGTGGCCATCATTTGTTTCAATGGTAAATTTGAAACAGAATGATAAATTTGAAACAGGTCTATGGGATATTAAAAATGGAACGATTTCAAGAGGGTTTCTTTAACAAACATCTACCATCTCCTTCAAGGCAGGCAATATCAGATTGGATAAGGAAAGAACTAATGATCAAAAGTGATACCTCCCTAAATTGATATTTCTCAGCCATGATACATATACCTATTTTTTCATAAGGTATCACACAACTTTCAGAATACTCAATAACATTCCCCATCCATACATACACACTTGATGGCTGACAATGGCCCTTGTCTCACATTCAAATTAGTGCGGAAACAGATATATAGGTAACATTTCAAAAACTAATTTCATCTTCAACCATCCTTTGTTAGGAAATATCTAAAGAGAAACTGGAATCATGTTTATCAGCTGAATCTGGTTACAATAATTTATTGGAATTTTCCTTTTTCCCTTGAAAAACTAGGTAATTTGCCTTTCCCATTAATGAAAGAAGGCAGGAAATGTAGCACATCCCATCTTATATCCCACGAATGACTGAAAAAATGCTCCATTTAATTTATTCTTGTAAAATATTTATTTACATGTTGGATCTTCCCAGACATCTCCTTTTCTTTGTATGGATTTAAGGGATGGGATAATGGTCAGATAGGTGGTACATGTCGATACTGCAATGACAAGAAATGCCAAAATTTTCCCTCTGGCTCAATCCACATCTAAAATTGGTTGTAGAATATAACTAAACAGAAAACTGCTAGCAAGGAAACAAACAAAACAAGCAGCAGCCCAAGGAGTAATAGTTCCTGGAGGATGTGCAGGATTAGATAGCCTAATGGGACATCAAAAAATCTGTGTGGAAAGAAGAGGGGGAAAAGGAAATAAATACTAAGAGAAAAAAGGCACCTGCACATTTAAGTCAGATACAGAATCAGGAAACACAGAAGCTGTAATGAGTTTTTACTGAATGGGGATTAGCAGGATCCTTTTAAATTAGAGCTAACAGTATGAAATTCATCATTTCTGTTTGCTATGGCACAGATATAAAATATTTAAAAATCATCAAAAAGCAACACAAATGATACCGTGGCTTTCTTCCTTTTAAAACATTGTATATGCAAAATAGAAATAATCCAAACAGCTGGATTGTAGCTCTTTTCATAGGAAAAGAATGTGGCCTCTATTAATCGGGTCCATTTTTTATTTCTGTGTTTAAACAGCATTTAAACATTAAGAAACAAATTGCAATCCTGCACTCCTGATAAAGTTCTTCCTTAATCAAGCCTAAAACAATATGTTGAGAAATCAGCACATTTTACATGTAAATATGCTTCAGGGGCTATATTCTTAATTATTTAATTATTTTTCTGTTTTTTCCACTTTCAAACATTTCAAGATCCTATGTCAACTGCATGTACATCATTAGTCTGTTTTATTTCATATTGTAGATACAAGAAAACTAGGGAAATATTTAATTACTTCAAGAAGCATTTGTTATATTTTGAAATTGAGAATCAAGAGTCTAGTTCAGGGGTGTCAAACTGGCAGCCCGCGGGCAAGATGTGTCACACGCAGGTCAGGCCCACCCCAGCTCCACAAAGGTAAAACATGTCATGATACATCCCGATATGTCACGTGACGTGATTGAGTTTGACACCCATGGTCTAGTACAGGGCTTTTCAACCTTTTTACCCATTGTACCACTTTTAGGATATGGCGATATCTGAGTACCACCAGTTGCATAGCAAGATGTCAAAAACATGATGACCAAAAAAAAAGGAAAAAAGTGATAAAGTACAGGTAGTCCTCAACTTACAACAGTTTGCTTAGTGACTGTTTGAAGTTACAATGGCATTGAAAAAAGTGCCCCCCAAGCCACAGCCGAGCAAGACGCCTGCCCACCCGGCCGTGCTCTTCCTCCTGTCCGAGGTTTTCATTGTTGTGAGCATTTCTGTTCATGATTGGCAGCGGGGGTGGGGTGGGGGGTGTATGGTTTTTATTCTCCCTGTCTGCTGGGTGGTTGCAGCAAGTTTTGGTCACTTCACATGACCCTGGGACACTGTGACCGTCATAAATATGAATCAGTTGCCAAGCATCTGAATGTAAATCACAAGACCCTGGAGATAAGGCAACATTCCAGCTGATCGGCGCTTCTTCTGGGCTCAGCGGAAGTGCCAGGATCAGCACTGAGCTCCAGCTGGAGCCTGGTGCTGATCCTGGTGCTTCCACTGAACCCTGACAGCCCCGAAGAAGCGCTGATCAGCTGGAAAGCAGCACTGATCCTGGTGCTTCCACTGAGCCCTGACAGCCCTGCAGCTACAGCCATCTCTCGCTCAGGCTTGTGCAGTGCTGCCACCGGTTCAGCCTATTCCCCTCCCCCACTACTTTTTTAGGATGGTCGCATACCACCTGCCAGGTGCCAATGTACCACAGGTGGTACCCATACCACTGGTTGAAAAGCCCTGGTCTAGTACACAGGTCGGCAACCTGCGGCTCCGGAGCCGCATGCGGCTCTTTGAGCCTTCCCCTATGGCTCCCAGCCTCCTCTGCCTTTTGCAGAGAGAGACAGAGACAGACTGTCATGTGTCTGAGTAACGAAACACTTAAAAGGACTTTCAGGCATGTTTTCTCCTAAAAGCTTTTATTAATGTTAAAGTACATCAGCACGGCATGGAGGAATGCTTAGAACTGATTCTCTTCCGTTACACCTAGCATTCCAGACATTGTCCACTCCCTTATTGTAGGGTCATGGTTCACATCTTCCAATCAACTTGAAAGATGTGATTTACTTCCGGTTTCTTTCTCCCGGGCTATCCTTATGCTCCTCCCTCTTTCCTAGTTGCTGGTTTAACTATATATATACCAGACAGTTCTGCACATTGTCAAAGCAAGAATATACAGTATTTGGAGCGTTGACACAGACCTTCTCTCTCTCTCTCTCTCTCTCTCTCTCTCTCTCTCTCTCTCTCTCTCTCTCTCTCTCTCTCTCTCTCTCTCTCTCTCTCTCTCTCTCTCTCTCTCTGTGTGTGTGTGTGTGTGTGTGTGTGTGTGTGTGTGTGTAAAAAAGAGAGTAGCTTCACCCTGTTCTGACGAGCTGAAAAGCTTATTGGGCGGGGCTCCCCCCTTTGCTGCATCTCTGCAGGAAGCAGGAAGCAGAAAGGGCAGGAGAGAGCTAGCTAGCCCAGCTATGCTGACTCAGGAATTCTGGGAGTTGAAGTCCATGAGTCATAAAAGAGCTAAGGTTGCCTACCCCTGAGCTAGCCCAATAAGAATGTGTGTCAGTTTGTTGGAGAACAGCTGGAAGCCAGCTTGCCAGGTGAGCAGAAGATTGGAGAGAGGAAGAGAGAGGGGGGGAGAGAGAAAGAGAGAGAGAGAGGGAGAGAAAGAGAGAGAGAGAGGGGGGAAAGAGAGAGAGGAAGAGAGAGAGGGAGAGAGAAAGAAAGAGAAAGAGAGAGGGGGAGAGGAAAGAGAGGGAGAGGAAAGAGAGAGAGAGAAAGAGAGAGAAAGGGAGAGGAAAGAGAGAGAGAGAGAAAGAGAGAGAAAGAGAGGGAGGAAGAGAGAGGGAGGGGGGGAGAGACAGAGGAAAGAGAGAGAAAGAGAGAGAGAGAGAGGGAGGGAGAGAGAGAGAGAGAGAGAGACTCTTTTGACATCTAAAATGAAGATAACACTGCATATATCCTTTTTTACCATCTTGGCGACGTTTCGATGAGGTCCCACTCGTCATCTTCAGGCTGGGGTCTTCGGCTTCGTGCTTGTGCGAGCAAAGTGTGATCGGAGCTGCCGTTTCTCTATAAATATTGGTGGGGGTGTGTGGAGTGCTGGCTTAGTTGCTGTAGGTGGGTTGGTTGGCTGTGTAGGGGTTATTGTTTGCGGATTGTTCAGCTGTTTCGTAACATCCTGAGTAGTTGAGGTGCTGGCTGTGTGCCCATTAGTCTTTTGTGTTATAACGACCTGGGTAATGGGTTGTGTGATTACATCCTGAGATCTAGTGTAGTGATATNTAAAGCCCAGGATGTTACAACACAGCCAACCACCCAGGATGTTGCAACACAAAACTCAGGATATCACTACACTAGATCTCAGGATGTAATCACACAACCCATTACCCAGGTCGTTATAACACAAAAGACTAATGGGCACACAGCCAGCACCTCAACTACTCAGGATGTTATGAAACAGCTGAACAATCCGCAAACAATAGCTCCCACACAGCCAACCAATCCACCTACAGCAACTAAGCCAGCACTCCACACAAACACACCAATATTTATAGAGAGACGGCAGCTCCGATCACACTTTGCTCGCACAAGCACGAAGACCCCAGCCTGAAGATGACGAGTGGGACCTCGTCGAAACGTCGCCAAGATACTCTCAATCTTACACGGGAAAAGACCCGAATACGCCAAGACCTGCACATATATATATATATACAGGAACTCTTTCTCAGAAAAAGAAATTTATATATATATATATCTATATCTTGAGTTTGGTGCACCCTGTCGGCCCAAATATGGGAGAAAGGAATCTTTTGTCTGTATCAGCTCAAACTAGAGCCAGTTCTCCCTTAATTCTTTGTTAGCAATCCAAATTTTGAAATATATATATAAATTTTGGAAATATATATATACGGTATATATATATATATATATATATATATATATATATATATATATATATATATATATATATATATATATATATATATATAGTAGAGTACAAAAGTAAAGAACACCAGGAGAAAAAGAGACTCTAAAAAATATTTAATGGTTGAAACCAACAAGACAATGCATGGCTAAAACCTATAAAATTGTTCTTTAGACAGCCATTACTCTGCATCCGGCACCAAGCCCTAGTCATTGGGCGTGGCCGGTCAATGAGGGTTTTACTTTTCTTGCCACAGATGGTTCGGCTCCTGTTCCTACTTTCAGTCCCAGAGTCAGTCCTCCCCTCATGAGCACACTCCTCCACCGGAGATGCTTTTTCCCGCAGAAGTGACCCTGCAATTGCTCCCGAATTGGAGAATGGTGGAGGATATAACTGGCTTATGGGATGGAAACACCCTTTATCCCAGGTTGCACAAGTGGGGGGAGGGTGCAGCCGTTCGTTTTGCGCTCCAGGACGACCCATGGAGTCATAAACACCCGTGCCGGTCCCCATGGGGCGTGCATCGTGCTTACTAGCAGGTAGTCCACTCTTCTCCACTCCGCTCCGCTCAGCATCCCCACACATGGGGGGAGGCGGAGAGGCCGCACAACCGTCCATTCCCAGGAGACGCCTCACGGTCTCCAACCACCTCAAGCGTCTCTTGCTCTCCCCCATCCACCGCAAGCCGGGCACTGCAGCCAGGTAGTCCGGATACATCAGGAGCCCCACAATCATCCTTCGCAACCCCAAGCGCAGCACGTGTCGCGGAGCGGGTCCAAGGTCCCCGTCTACCAGGGGATGCCATCGCTCCGCAGCGGGTTGTCCTTTGCCGACGACATACCAGCGTCCGTGAAGCACTGGGGGGGAGGTGGGTGAAGGGGGGGGTCTAGAGCTGCCTTGCCCGTACCGGCATAAGTCATCGACAAACCCACATCACCGGCTATGTCATTGTAGTTGCCGGGTGGGGCATCTTGGTCACGGGGAAATGCTCCATTTTGCAATCCATTGTTGTTAACAGGTTTGTCCCGACTCGGTGAACTAGGGGGTCGTGAGTTGCTCCCCATTCGTACGTACGCCCAGTTGCGCTGCCAGGTGTGTGCGCGTCGTAGCTGGGTGTCGGTTTCCTCAAAGCATGGTAGAGCAAGGTCAAAGAGGTCAACGGGTCTGCCCATGGGTGACTGCACCCCAGGATTACCACCCTGGGGACC